TTTGCAAGACTTTTCATTAAGATTGACAGAACGAGTTTTAAGATTCATAATGCTAAAAAATTGTTATCCACAACTAGGTCAATGTTACAATAACAATGTTAAATCTGTCTGAGAGCGTTAGCAGATTATTTGATTGAATGGCGGCTTCAGCTGTGAGACGGCCTTCAAAGAAACTTCCCACCATTTCTTGTTCAAGTTGCTGAGGTATTCATATCACTGTCAAAACGACAGGTCACACAGAACTGACACTGACATGCGCATATGCCCTTCTAGATCAACTGGCAACCGGTTCTCATTTGTTTCTTCATTCAACTCCTGTTTGCCTTCATCACTCTCAAAACGCATGCGGGCTATGTGACATTTGAATTTCTCGGAAAGCGGATGGCTGAGTTCCTCGAAAACAGCCAAGTGGGATCGCAATTCGTGTTTGGTTCATTACAGTGTTTCGCCTTTGCAGTGAGTGCCTGAAGGACGGGAACTTGCAAATCACCGCCCTCGATTTTGTGGTTTAGTGCAAGTCTCTTTGTAGGTCCTCCCGGTGGTTATATTCTTCTCATCCTTCATGGCCGTCTGCTTCCATCTGGGCATTGTTCAACTCTTAATTGACAAACCATCAAAAATTGCGGCAAAAGTCATAAAAACTACGGGCCCGGAGACTCTCAATGCCATTGCAAACATTTTCTTTTCAATGGTAAATGTTGTTCGTTGTTTCTGCGAACGAAGGGAAAATTCTGTTACAGACCTTAATTACTCAAAATTAGCCGATCTACAAAGCTATAATTTTTTTTATCCTTTCGTCCTATTAACTAGTGGTCAGCAGAGACATTGAAATTGCCTCTTGTAGACAGAAGCTCCGTTGATTACACGGCCGTACTTGGCCATGTCCACCAACTCCGAGCTGCATGCAATGATTGTCAACGGATTCGCCTCCATCGCGGGCTCCGTTCTAGCCGCATTCATTAGCTTTGGGGTCAGTTGAAAAGAAAAGCTACCACTTCTAAATCCGGTTTGTAGAAATTAGACCTTCATAATAGCGGTTTTTAACATTGTAGGTTCCACCAAACCACCTCCTTATTGCTTGTATCATATCTGCACCCGCAGCCCTTGCTGTCTCCAAAATCATTTATCCTGAAACAAAAATCTCGCCTTTAGCCAATTCCGAAATTTCTCTCAAAATGAAAAGGTAAATTTCCTAAAAAAATCATTCGGTTTGCCCACTTAATGACAATTAATTTGACTTTCCATTTCGCCCACCCTTCAGTCCCTACAACAGCGCTCTTGAAGCAGCAATGGTGGGCGCCATGGAGGCGGTCCCCATTTGTGCAGGCATCACGGCGAATTTGATTGCTTTCCTCAGCATCTACAACTTCCTCAATCGGATTCTCGTTTGGCTGGGAAAGCGAGCCAGTCTGCAGTTTGATCTGACCTTTGAAGTGAGTTCGTTGCAAAAGTTATGAAAAGAGGGGTAAATGCATTGTCACTTTTCACCTGTGAATGATGAGTTAGGCACTGATGCCAATTTTGGGTACAGTTACCTTTTCTTTGTAAAACGAAGGC